CGGGGCGAGCGCGTGGCAGTGGGCTCCGGTTCTTCTGGGGGTCCCGGCGCTTCCTTTTGTGCCCAGCGTCTGGGTTCGACAGGGGGCTGATCGGTTTCGCTGCTTGAACTTTGGTGGGAGGGTTGCACTTGGGGGGTCCTGTCCCGCCGCCCGGGGCGCGCTGTCCCCGCGGAGGGAGCGGTTGGCGGGGTCCGCTCCCCTGGTACCGCCTGGCGGGCTGCGGCGCCGCGGCGTCTGCCACCCTTCCGAGCTGCCCCGCTCTTTGCACGTTGCAGTGCACACCTATTGGATAATTTTGCGTGTGTCCGCCCTGTCCGCGTGGCCAGGTCGCAGTCCCGCGCCTGGCACTGGGGAAAGAGGTGGAACGATTGACGCCCGCATTCTAGAGGGGAGACGGTTGTCATCCACGTGTGTCGTAGGCATCGTCAAAGCGGGGTGGGCAGGATGCCCTGCGAGTGACGAGCTGGGTGCGCTGTCGCTAGCGAATGGGTTAGCGGGTGGGTGACTTAGGACCTGCACCCGGCGGCAAGGAAGGCCCCCCAGGGGCAGCGGGGAGAGTTGTGTGCTTAGTCTAGTCTGTTGTGACCCACACTTCACTGCCGTCGAGTCCATGCCGACTCATGGCCACCTATGGGGCAGGGTAGAACCGCCCTGTGAGTTTGCCAGGCTGTAACGAACTGTGTCCTGGAGTAGAAGTGCTTTCAGCCCGAAGCACAGCATAGCCCATTCCACCAGGGCTCTGCTTTCCCACCCATAGCCATGTTCAATCGGATGGGGGAAGGCTACGAACCATGAGGCCACATCTATTCAACAGATGTTACTGACCCTTTAAACAGAGAATTCAGCTAGATCAGGGGGTCAACCCTGGAGTTCTCTTTTTAGGTAACGTTTCTGTTTATTCTGGAGCAAAGTTACTCTCCCCTTCAGTTTCCGATGCCGTTTTTAGTTCTTCAACGTCTTGGGCACTGTGGTTGCACTTGGTCTTGAATAGTGTATTTGACAGGCGCCCCGGAAGGCGGGAAAGGAACCCAACCCCCGGCCAAGTCCAACCCTCCAACCAAAGTTCAAGGAGGGAAACCGATCAGCCCCCAGTGGAACTGGATGCTGGGCACAAAAGGAAGCGCAGGGACCCCCACAAGAACCGGAGCCCACTGCCACACGCTCGCCACCAGTAGGGCTCTGCGTATCTCGCTGTTTTCCAGATATTTACTTAGATCTTGTTAGTCTTGAACAATGTTCCTATTTGTAGGCTATGCAACTGGGATGCAGCTCCCTGCTGGTTGGGTGAAGATTTCTTCTTACAACTTACTGGTTATTTAAAATCATGCTTCAGGTGCTTAATGTTATGAGTGTGTTTTTGTTTTTTTTAAAATAAGCACACCATCCACTTACATTTGAAGGCTCATAGCACTTGCCTCCCCCCCACCCCCTTATATTGATTTCTACAGTTTATGGGAGGCTGTTGTTTAAACTCTAGGAGAGCAGCTGCCTGTTAGTCCTCAGCTCTCCCACAGACCACATTGTGACCTGGATGTAGATCAGTTGAAACTGTTCACTGAATGAAATCGTTTTTATGTTTTTTTTAGCCCTGCCTGGATTTATTTTATGTCTTCTTTTTCGGTACTACTGACAGCATATTAGTACATTTTACACCTTATTTGCAATGACTTGTGCTGAATTGGAACGGGCATGGTCCTTGCCCTCGACTTCTCTGGGCTTTGGGCTGGTGTTTTGCCTTGGAAACACTCTCCAATCTCCATTCCTGCTCCTGTGCTTGCTTTCTCTCACAATGTCTATTCTGACATTTCCTGTAACTCTGCAGGCTCACTGTAATTCCCACTGTTTAGCTTGTTAGTTTTTTCAGTTTCAATCTAGAACTAGCTTTTAAATACTGCTGTCTTGTAATTCTGTTTTTATGCTGTCTTTAAATGTTATTTTAAAAAGAACATGCTTATTTCATGCTTATTTGTAGTATCAGTATTATTAGAAAATCCCCAAATGAAAGTTAACCTTTTTTTTTTTTAAATAATTTCAGCCTAGAGGCAACCGCAAACATGGTGCATCCTTTATCATCACAAAAGCAATTAGAGGTAAGTATAGAGGGTGTATTTATAATGATATAGTTAACAGACTCCCCCCAGGCCCCCCCCACTCTAGTTGTAACTGTGCTGTTTGAGAGAATTTAGGGATTTTAAATGTGTTGTTTAGGTTTCTGGTGTATGGGGCCTGAGAGTGAGTACATGTACGTTCACTACATATATATAAATAAATACGTTTGCACACACATTTTCAGTGCAGCTCAGAGCTGAAGTATGGCCTGTGTTTAACTGTGAATATGTTTTCTACAAAGAATAAAGAAGATAAAACTTAGTATGAGTCTCAAAAAGCCTGGGGACATTGAAAATGAAAAGATAGAGGCCATTTATGTGGCTCACATGTTCTTTCAGATACATCTGGCCACAGGTATTCTTAGAGAAAAAACTGATTAACTTGATGAACAAGGGCATCCTTCTAATCTCTGATAGCTTATATGTAGTAGCTGACACACGTATTAGAGACGTATTGAGCATCAGCCTCTGACCTGATGCTGTGAGGGATTTACATAGATTGATTATTGGAATCCTTTTCCAGGTCCGGAAAGATAGGCAATGTTACTCCTTTAGGTTTTTAGATGAAGGAACTTGCCCAGAGTCATTTAGAATTTGATTGTAGGTTTTTTCGGTTCCAGAGCCCATCCTTCTATCAGTGCATTTGGCCTACTTTTAAAGAGAACATTCAGTTTCACTCTCCATCCAGAGTAGATTCTGGTTCATAGTGACCCTAGGGAGCAGAGTTGAATTGCCCCTTTGGGTTTCCAAGGCTGCCCATCTATGGGACTAGAAAGCCTCATCTTTCTCCCTGTCAAAGGGCTGATGTGTTTTAACTCTGTTTTAACTTCTCATACTGAAAACCCTAGCATATCTATTTTTCAAGATCACAATCAACTTGGAGTTTTGAAGGTGTAGAAAATGTATAAAATACCAATTAATTATAGGAAAGTTAGAAAACCTAAACAACCACAAATTACAATGAGATGATTATACCTCATTTCACTGCCCAGAGATAATCAATGATACCCTTTCCAGACCATTTCCTATTAAATGCATCCTTAGCCATGTACGGATGCACGTACATTTCAAGGGGAAGCATATAAAACATTGTTTCGTAACAATGTGTTAGAGAGTTTGCTTTTCATGAACTTTCTCTCCTAGGTATCATTCATTAAAAAAAAAAAATCTTTCCTGTCCTGTATTAGATAGCTCTGGTAGCGTAGTGGGTTGCTCATTGGGCTGCCATCCGAAAGGTCAGCAGTTCAGAACCATCAGATGCTCTGTGGGAGAAAGACGAGTTTTTCTGCTCCCACAAAAAGTTACAGTATTGGAAACTCACAGGGCCTCTACTCTGTTCTGTAGGGTCCCCTTGAGTTAGTATTGCCTCAGTGGCAGTAAGAGTGAGATCCTTTATTAATGCTTACCCAGATGCTTTGGCTTTACAGGGTGCCTGATCTCTAATCTATGGGTTTATTAAAAGCTTTTTAGATGAAATTTAACATCTCAAATCATTGTTACTTTTTCTTTTTTTTTTCTCACTTTTACTTTTTCTATTGTTAGGAGATAACTTCAAATTTTTAAAATAAGACACAAATTTAGAACTTAATATAAACAAAAGAACTATATGACTTTATAAAGTTATAATATATACTAGGTTGTATTTATTTCTCATATATTTGGAGTTTTTTCCCCATGTCTTTTTGTAATGACTCAGTCTACAGTATATTTTAGATTTTGCATTGATAAATATAATTTGAAAATAATTTTAGAGGACAACTGATTAATATTTGGCTTTGCCATTTCTTTTTGTTACAGATCGTTTATTATTTTTACAACAGTACATCTGGTACAGGTGAGTCTTTAGTCTTTGAGAGAAGCAGTAGGAGTGCAAGGACCAAGAATATTACCTGTTTTTATAAGTGAATCCAGTCTCATGATAGAGACGCTAACACAGACATTTCAAACTTTGGCAACTGCACGGGGTATCTTAGGGGGTGTAGCGTGACTTTTGTTCCCTTGGTGATGATTGGAGGCCTGGTGGTGAAGTGGGTTACACATTGGGCTGCAAGGCCAGCAGTGTGAAACCAGCAGTTGTTCTCTGGGAGAACGTGGAGGTTTTCTATCCCTGTAAAGAATTACAGGCTCCGAAACCCAGCAGGCAGTGGCTGTCGTGCTCTGTAGGGCCACTGTGACTCAGAATCAGTTCGATGGCAGTGAGTATGCCGTTTGCTTTTGCCACGATTAAGATTATGTCATAAATTCTGCTTTCTCTTGCATGTCCTTAATCTTATTTTGTTTGCCCACTTGATGGCTTTGTGACTTTCATAGTTTACTATTATTTAAAGCTTTTTAAAGCATCCTTTTTGTGAATCAAGTGCAGATTTACAGAGCAGATAATCAGTTTTGTGTTTGGCTATCTGTATATATCTTGTCCATCATCAGTCCCTTCGTTGTTTCCTCTTTCAGTCTTCCTTTTTGACTCTGTGCCCTGTCTTTGGGTAAACGTCGCCCTTGCCATCGAAATGGCTGATAGTTCTGACGCACGGGTGAGTTCTGCTCCAGTCTGAAGGGTGACCAAGGGCCATCGTCTGGGGTCCACCAGGTCTCTGTCTGACCTGTAAACCTCTTCTCTCTCTCTCTTTTTTTTTTAATCGTTTTATTAGGGGCTCATGCAATTCTTATCACAGTCCATAAACACATCAATTGTGTAAAGCACATTTGTACATTCATTGCCCTCATCATTCTTAAAACATTTCCTCTCCACTTAAGCCCCTGGCATCAGGTCCTCATTTTCCCCCCCTTCCCTGCTCCCCCCCCCCTCCTAAACCCTTGATAACTTATAAATTATTATTTTGTCCTATCTTGCCCTGTCCAACGTCTCCCTTCACCCACTTTTCTGTTGTCCGTCCCCCAGGGAGGAGGTCACGTATAGTTCCTTGTAATCGGTTCCCTCTTTCCATCCCACTCTCCCTCTACCCTCCCAGTATCGCCACTCACACCACTGGTCCTGAAGGGATCATCTGCCCTGGATTCCCTGTGTTTCCAGTTCCTATCTGTACCAGTGTACCTCCTCTGGTCTAGCCGGACTTGCAAGGTAGAATTCAGATCATGATAGCGGGGAGGAAGCATTTAGGAACCAGAGGAAAGTTGTATGTTTCATCGTTGCTACATCCCACCCTGACTGGCTCGTCTCCTCTCTGAGACCCATCTGTAAGGGGATGTCCAGTGGCCTACAAATGGGCTTTGGGTCTCCACTCCACACTCCCCCACTCATTCACTATGAAATGTGTTCTCTTTTAACAAAACGCTGTGTCGTGAACTGGGTGCAAGTTCCCAAGCACCTCATAGCTTCACCCTCAGCTGTTCTTGTCACTGGCTCCATTTCCTTCTACCCCCTTGACTGCACTCTCCTCAGGGGACTGTCACTTATCCCACTCCCTCCCTCCCGCCAGTCTTTCTCTGGTCCATTCCTCCTCCTTCCCCGTCCTCTGAAACTTGCTCTTGGATAAGTGCTACCCTTTTGATGTCAAAGACTGGATTATCCCAAAGCGTGCGTACCACGTTCGTTCTTGTCACTGTTTCCCTTGTCGGCCTGTCTATTCGTTGGCTGAAAATTGAGCCACAGTGATGAGCTCCCATCGAGGTCTGAAGAGTGACTAAGGGCTGTTAGTCTTTGGGGTTCCATCCTTCTCTAGCCAACCAGTAAGCCTGGTCGCTTTCAGCTTCCACAGCTTTCAGCTTCCACAGCTTTACAAACCAGGGTGCTCTACGCGACAGTCAGCACAGGCCTTGTGTCGGCAGTGTCCAGTTGCTCTGTGTCAAAGAAGATGCTTTGGCTTTGACTTCTTGGGGACTCTAAGTTCTTTGTGGAAGTCAATATCGTCTGCAGACATGATGCTCATTTCCTGCCTTAAAAAGAGCAAAAAAAGAATGAATTTGATAAAGGAGATAATTCTGCTTTTGGATACATGCGTCAGCATTGTTTTTATAGAATTTTTCACCGCAGATGGCTTTTTTCCTTGAGGATATCTAATCTGAAAAGCTATAGGGGTAACAGTTTATGACAGAGACCTTTGCCTCTTCTTTGAGATTAGCGCCAATGATTTTCTTCTTTTACTCTGTGAACACACACACACACACACACACACACACACACACGCACACGCACACGCACATGCACGCACACGTAGAGAGTCAGAATGGACTCCATAGCAGTGGTTTGGGTATTTTCCCAATTGTTCGCCTGTTTTATATTTTGGATGAAGCGGTATCATAGGAGGGAGAAGTGAGTGAGGCCGAAGGGTGGCCGTTAGAAGGGGCGTGGGGTGTACAAGGTGGGCCTGTCTCCCTGAGCTCACTTGACTGTAGTAGCTATGCTGGCTAGTCCGGTATTCCCAAGGGAGGTGGAATATTGGGACTTGAGATTCAGTCTTTTTGGATATCTCTGTGGAAGGAGGACTGAAAAAAAAGTTAATTATGATACAGGCCTGATTCTGTATGTAAGAGCCATAAGATCAACATTCAGTCGATAATTTTTTTTTTTTAATTTTTTTTTAAAAATTTTTTAACATTTTATTAGGGGCTCATACAACTGTTATCCCAATCCATACCAGTCGATAATCTTTCTGTGTCTTTTTTGGCCTGAGAAATTTATTTCATTGAATTGGCCAGGTTAATCATTGTATAGATTGTGAATGTACATTGAAGTGATGAATTGCTTTGAAAAAGGTGGCAGTTGTTTTTGTTCTTGAATTTAGGGTAAACTTAAATATTTTCAGTTCATATTTATGTACTTAAAAATCTTTTACAGTGTGAAATATAAACATACCGATAATTTATTAATAGCACATGAACCATATATTATTTTTTCTAAATCTGAATTAAAATAGATGTTGATATTTTCTAATAATTAATTTAGGGTTTTTGTTTTTATTTTATTATTTTTCCCAAAACCACTTTATTGGGAGGTAATGGAGATATCATAGCACTCTATAGTTTAGTCACACTAAGCAGTATTGTACAATAGCTACCACCATTATTTTCAAAATATTCTTTTCCTTCTTGAACTCCTTGATATCAGTTCCCTTTACCTAATCCTCCCCCCAGGAACCTTTATCCGCCCCCAGTATACCCCAAGAACCTTTATTCAACTTACTGTATCTGTAGGTTCATCAATCCTGAATACCCAAAACAAGAAAAATATATAATTCAGTGACATAACTGAGATAAACCCCAATATGAAAAAAAACCACAGAAAACTTGGAAATCTAGATCAGGCCCAACATGTATCAGAGGGGAGATGAAGTGATGACGGTTTTTGTTTTTTTTAAATTGTTTTATGGGGGTTCTTACAGCTCTTAGGCATCATCATTTTCTATACATTTCCTTTCTATTTGAGTCCTTGGTATCAGCTCTTTTTTCCCTTGAGACCTCTTGATAAATCATAAATTATTATTATTTTCATATCTTACACCAACCGCTGTCTCCCTTCACCCACATTTCTGTTGTTCGTCCCCCTGGGAGGGAGGGAGGTTGTACATTGGTCATTGCTATAAGTTTCCCCTTCCCCCCTCCTCCCCCACTTTCCCCTTCCCCTCCTGGTATCGTTACTTCCCTTTCTGTTCCTGAGGGGTTTATTCTGACCTGGATTCTGTGTGTCATGAGCTCTTATCTGTACCAGTGTCCATGCACCGGTCTAGACAGAACTGAAAGGCAGGACTGGGGTCATGATAGTGAGGGGTGAGGAAGCCTCAAAGAACCAGGGAAATATTGTGTGTTTCATCAGTGCTATACTGCGCCCTGGTTGACTCATCCCTTCCTTGTGACCCTTCTGTGAGAGGATGTCCTATTATCTACAGATCGTTTTGTGTCTCTGCTTGGATCCCCCTTCGTTCTAAACAATATATGTATATTTTGGGGGGTCTTCTGGTGCTTGTTACCTGATTCCATTGTCACGCAGGCTAGTGTGCCGCTTGTTGCTTCTCTGCTAGATGGCTGCTTGTTTAACTTCAAACTTTTCAGACCCCAGACGCTATATCTTTTGATAGCCAGGCACCATCAGCTTTCTTCACCACATTTCCTTATGTACCCATTTTGTCTTCAGCGATGATAGATGACAAGGTTGCTTTTTTTTTTTAAGTCATTTTATTGGGGGCTCATACAATTCTTATCACAATCCATATATACATCCATGTGTCAAGCACCTTTGTACATTTGTTGCTATCATTCTCAAAATGTTTTCTTTCTACTTGAGCCCTTGATATCAGCTCCTCATTTTCCCCCATCCCTCCCCACTTCCCCCTCCCTCATGAACCCTT